TCGGTTGGTCGACCAACACTGACGAGAGAGTGCAGTGAAATTTCAGAAAAGGTAGGAGTGTTGTTGAAGATATACCTATTTAGAGGGGGTGTAGATAAAAAATTTTCTATATTTTTTGGTATTCATGGGAAATCTGATTAAATACATATTTTCTAATATATATTATATATTTTGCAAGGAAGAAGTGTGCTCAATCAATTGTGTTAAGTTAGGTGCGTTTGTGTTGAGTTTGAGTGAGTTCATATAAAAAAAATACTCTAGTTACTCTTGATTCATTTATTAATTCATGTTTAATTAATCGTGTTATATTGAATTCGTGTTTTATATCAATCATGTATAATTAACATTTAAATGAATAGTATCATTTATTTCGTTTGATTGACTTCACTCATATTTGATCATTTATTATATCTTGTTGGGTTCATCCAGTTATAAAACTGACTTAAAAAAACCTCGAACTCCCTAATTTCGTGTTTTGACTAGTGGCAGAGCCATATGAATTTTTTTTTTAAAATATTACTTATGTATAGTTAAAATTACTAGTAATGCACATGTACGTTAAATGTGAAAAAATTTTAATCATAAATTTTTTTGTTAAATTTATTAGAAATCCAAGTATATGAGTAATGAAATTAAATAGGTTATTAAATGGTAAATAATCTTGTATTTTGACATTTTTTAAAGATAAATTAAGAATTCAAAATTTTTGCATGGATGTTAAGATTATATAATAGTACATAAATGTTTCTTGTCAACTATCAACCACTGGCAAATGAAATTCTATGTAAATTGATAAGATAGATTACAAATAAACTTTAAAATTAAAACATTTATGGGTAATTAAGTTGGTATGATTTCTTTATATTATATCTGTATAATATTTTGATTAGATTGTAATTGTACTTTTGTTTTAGTATTTCCTTATTGTTTTACTGTAAGTTGTAGAAATATTATGATACTACTAAATTGAAATTTATGCATGAAAAAAATAGTACATATGGTAGAAAATGATTTCTTAAGTTTCATTTTAATTTTCTGTTGGTTGATCGCAAAGCAAAGATTTGTTTCATTGTCCATTTAATAAATTTTGATTGTTTCATCTTTTTAAGATGGTGGGTCATGTAGGAATAACAACATAGCTTCTCTTTGAAGTGTTTGTATTTTTTATTCAACTGTAAACAAAAGTTAAACCTAACAAAATTTAATTATTGACCAACCAAATAATGGGGGAAGTAAGCACCAAAAAAATTCATGGCATTTGAAATAAAAAAACAATTAATAGTTGGTACATAAAATATATTACTACTCCAATTTAACCACGGTGAAAGAGAAAAGTCAAGGGTAGAGAGACTGACGAAGAGTTATTTTGAAGAACAAATGGATCTTCCATCAATTGTTAGCAAAAGTGAATCTGTTAAGCAAAAATATATATAAAGAGAGATAACTTACATGCAAAGAGATAATCGTATAACTATTACTCCTATGGCACAAACGAATGAAGAACTTGCTAGCTAATCCTTTTGCGTGTCACTTTTACTCTGAAAAACACATGTTTACATATAATGGAAGAATTAAGGTAGATTTTACATATTTCTCTATTATTAAAAATTAAAAAAAAATAAATCCGAGAAATAAATAATGAAAGAGAGTAATCAATATCAATAGATATTCTCACCAACATTGGATTAATAAAATTCCACGCCACATCAAATAATCTATAAATTGCTAATAAAAGTGAACTATTAAGCAAAAAATATAGAAAGAAAGAAAGATAACATGCAGAGAGAGAATCATATGACTATTACTCCAATGACACACACAGATGAAGAATTTACTGATGCTAAACCTTTTGCTTGCCATTTTTACTCTTTACTTATTGCTGAAAAACACATGTTTGCATATAATGAAAGAATTATGGTGTATTTTACAGATTTCTCTATTATCACAAATTAAAGGAAAGAGAGCAATCAATGCTAATAGATAATTCATCACATTATATATAAAGGTATAAATTCATTACCAAGTAATTCTTTGATCCAACAAAGTGTATATATCCAGAAAAAAATTAGAGGTTAATGGAATGGGATAATGAAGCTAAATAGCAATTGTACATGCTACTTTTTAGAAATCACCCACTGTATAAAAAGAGTCAACCAACGATGTGAGACAAATTTTATTAAATCTATGGTTAAGTTTAAATTCAACACACCCCGCCCCATAACAAATTGATGGTAAATATTAACTACTTTAATGAATCTGAATAACCCTGAATGATCGTTTTTGAGAAATAAATAATGTGAGAAATATAGAGAGTAAAACATTGGTATTCGATAAATGATAAGTTTGAACAGATTTAAATTGAATAAATGTATTCAAATTTTACAAACAAATAAAAAACAGAACTAATAAGTAATAAGAAAGAAAAAATACCAACATTCCACTATCAAATATTGAAAACAAACCCACGTTCTACCCTCACACAAATTAGGAATTTTAAGATTATATTCCCACCAACATTGGATTAATAAAATTCCATGCCACATCAAATAAATCTATAAATTACTAGCAAAAATGTAAAAAGAGAGATAACATGCAGAGAGAGAATCGACGACTATTACTCCAATGACACAAATGGATGAAGAACATGCTAATACTAAACCTTTTGCTTGCCACTTCTACTCTTTACCTATTGCTACTCAAGAATATATCAATGATTAAATTTAACGATAATTATAATAAAAATTAATTAAAAATATATAATTTATTATTTAATTTAAGTACACATATAATTTAAATTTTTTATGAAAAAATTATTATCACTCACCTGTGGCATAAGAACAATTTTGATCAGCTGCCTACTGTCACTGGCATTTATAAATCAAATCACCTGAACGGTCACATGGATTCAAATTCAAACACAATGCCTACAAAATTACACAAACAACAATTACCTTAATACCTAGTGGGTTAGCAATTCCTCTCAAGAATTCAACATGAGTGCCAGCCATCCAATTGCGGATGAAGAAACCTACTGTTATAACAAATGTTTTGGTTCAAATAAAATTTAATATATATTATTATAAAGTTGTTAATAAATGCTTAATATTCTCATAAAAATCTTTGATATGTGGGACTCATTTTTAAAGTTATAAATATAATGAAAATTAGGTTAAATAACTTAATGAGTGATCAATAACACTAATATATAAAGGCTATAATATATTTTATGCAATTAGTCTCATTTTTTTGTTTTTTTATCTGTATGCACTATATTTGTCGACGACGTTTGATAATTTTTGTATTTTATGAATCTTTAAGTATCAAATACAATGTCATAAATTTAAATATATTATTTTATATTTATTAATTGGGAGAAAATAATTTAAAATTTATGAATGAAATCAAACAATAACATGTTAAAAACTAGTGGGAAATTGAAATATAAATGAAAAAGTTAAAAAACAGTACATTGGTAAATAATTTTTGACGCTACCATTCTTTTTTCGCAAGCTTACTACTTTTTATTACGAGCTTTTTTTTGTACCAAATGGGCTAACGTAGTAGCTTTATCAATCATCGGTTTCGACTATATAGACTTGTTCATGGAATTACAATCAAAATACAACGAGCTCCATCCAGTCTTACAATAACGTCGCTACAATTACATTAAATTTAAACCAATCCACCTAATTAATCATGTAAGATAATCTGACACTACCTCAACCTGCTTACAAATGGTGTCACTTGTTAGTTGTCAAAATTGAAAGTATTTTCCCAATCAATCAAACCAACGTATTTCCATTGAGATAAAACCAAGCAGCAATACATCTGATATCATAGTCCACCCACTAATCAAAGCCTTCTCAAGCTTCATAAATATTAAAAAGAAACATAATAATAAGAGGCTCACGAGGTCGTAAAGCATTTGCTAAACAATAGTCAAAATTTGCATCCGAGATTTGCATTGCAACCATGAGTAAGTAGAAAAGATGCTTGGTGAAAAACTAAAATTGTCCAATCAAACTGAAAATAGTCCACCCGCTAATTAATTAAAAACACAAATACTAAAAATGGATTGGGCATCCGATATCATGTTCAGTCCATATCGAGAAACAAAAACTTCGGTCCATCGATTCAATTGAAGTGTATATTTTCAATTTTTATAACACATCGTTTCATACAAAGTGAATCAGTTAGACTTGATCAAAATAGTGAGCATGTGTTGGGGTCATATAGTATACCAAAGAGCATCCACATTTTACCATATCTTCCAAAAAAAATGTATCTGGAAGCACACAGCATCCCTTCACCGGCGATCACAAGGAGCTTTCAGGCACTGCAATGTTAAAGAAAGGCACAAGAAGTTTTGAGATTAAAGTGGGTCGAATTGATACACTTGAGGAGCCTGAATCTCATCCAGTCACCTTGCCTCTGGATCTGAAAACAGCGCGAAATAACATCAAATAACACATTTTGACAAGTTGTTAGCAGAAAGTGTGACTACTTGACACAGTCGTGAAGACTAGGAAAGTTTAATTATGAAAGCAGGCGAAGTTCAACGGTTCTGCAATTCATAAACGTAGAAAAATAACAACAGTAAATACAAAACGGATGGCAACAGAAAAGGCTGACAATTTAGACAAGCAACTAAGAAAGTTGTGGATGAATTTGCAATCAAACAAATATTGGCAAAGCCTTCTTGGGGTGAATATCCTTTAAGATACACACGACATTTGACCAATATTATCAGAATCGGACCAAACATCGAACCGGCAGAGGTACCGGATCAATGGTTCAATCGTTGAGTTAACTAGTCAACTATTTAACTTCTATTCAATTATTCATATTGACCGTGGGTGTGGGTGTGGGTGTGGGTGTGGGTGTACACAGAGAGAGAGAGAGAGAGAGACGAGAAAGAAGACCCAGCAAGAAGTCCCACAAAGCTACATTTTTTCCTTCACTTTTTGTGGGTATCACTGTGTCTATGTGGAGAGAGAGAGAGAGAGAGAGAGAGAGAGAGAGAGGAGCAGGGGAAGGCTTATACACAACTTAGGAGGAGATCTAGATCTCTGGCGTTCAAAATCTAGATCTCTGGTGTACGTGGCTGTTCGAGATGGAGAAGACGAAGTGGAAGGAGGCGGAAGACAAAATGGAAGAAGACGGAAGACGAAGAAGACGAAGGGGAAGGGTTGCCGCTGGTTTCGAGCTTTGAACTGGCCGGTTTTAGGAATTTTCGGTTCGCCGGTTTTGGGTTTTCCAGTTATCCAACGGTTTGATTCCTTAAACGGTCTAACTAAAGAACCGGACAGTTTCAGGTCCCGGTGAAATGGTTCAACCGGTCTGACCAGTCGGTCTGATTCGGTTTTGATAACAATGCATTTGACTCTTGAGGTATAACTAAAGAGTAGACATTATGTTCTGAGATGATGAAAATACCGGGCCACAGAAAGGGTCCTCAGAGGCCCAAAAACATAGCTTTTGTTGCTATTGGCAAAGAATTCATGAAAAACATTAAATTATAGGCCGGAATACTTACCCAAGGAACTGCATTTAGTGAGGAGCATTGTTTTGAGGAATGGAAAGCATCACTGACAAACCATAACTACAAATTACAAGGCTAGGGGTCCTTTAATTCACTGTTTTAATATGTTTGGCTAGAAGTTTGGAGGATACAGTCTGGCAATAAAACGACTTTTAAAGATCTGGCATCCAAAACTTGCCATTGCCCTTGCGAGAAGATTCATTATCCCTTTCCCGTGGAACACTGCCTGCAGGAAGATTTGATGCCCAGAACTCAACAATATCCTTTGGGAAAGTTTTAATCTTTGTGAATCTCTTAGTTTTAAAGGGAGGGTCGGAGGATGTGGGATTGCTATAGTAGGACCTTTGAAGACTAGATATCTGAAACTTACCGTTACCTGTGCCAGAAGATTCATCATCCTTCTTCTCAGGAGCATTTTGCTCCAGAAACAGCTGAATTGTTCTCCAATAGCGGTCACCACCTGCCAGCCATGTGTCCATATGCATGCCAGTAAGAAATTCCACAAAGGTGCATTGCCTGTTATGTGCAGCTGCTTTAGCATATAGCATTTCCATGTGAGATGGAGGGACCATTTCATCTTGTAATCCAGAGAGGAAAAGGATTGGCTGTTTGATCTGTGATTAAAAGGGTCAAAACATGAGGTTATGCAATAAACCTGTAAGCAGAAAAGAATGGGGAGCATAAGGATCCAAAAAACTACCATTAAACCCAACCATGTTCCTTTTGAAAACATCATAAGCAAGATGTAGTTAAACAGGAATATTATCAAAGGGTAAGCCGCATGGGTATCAGGTTGCTATGAAATACACAACTCCGGGTGCTAGGGTTAGATCAGGAAAATAAACTCTTCGGAACAAAGAACAAGATGGATAGTTAACAAAACAATTTTTTTCATTTTTAAGCCAACTTCACAAATATAATTTCAAAAGAACACTAAAGCACCATACAGATGCATTTCACACTAAAATAAGAGCTGCTGAATAGTAAGTTTAGTAGAGATTGTTAATTAACTTCCAAACTTTGTAGAAATGCAAACATGGCACATGCCAGATCATAGCTATAATCTTATTGTAAAGGAGAAATGAAAAAAATTCTTGTTTTCGGTACAAGAATATGACGGGCATGTCACCCAGAGCACACAACATTATAGAAGAAGTGTCCACAGATGCACAGCATAATGTTCTACCAACTTGTAGCCTCACCTGGTCAATGATATCAATGGTATTCCATGGAGAACGAACTAGAAAATTGAGAACCCCAGGGCCTTTTGAACAACTTTTTCCAATAAACCACTTCAGAAAGGGTAGTAAAACTCCAGCCATGTCTAGAATCGATGTGAAAGTGTTCTCCAATATGAGTGCCGTGACCTGCAATAGCAAAGAAAACAGGAATGACATCTGTAAAAATTTGGGCACAAGTAGTTTAAGATAGAGAAACCCAATAGAGGATTGGATTGATTGAAATATTATTGAAGATGCAGGACTTGGAACAGAGTTTGTGGAAGGATAATGAAAAAATCCAGGTATATGAGCTAATGCTGTGAAAATACTCGAGCAATAAGTAAAAGCTACATAACAATGATGCCACCCAACACACATCATGAAGTGATTACAAAGAAAAATTTAAAATCATCAAGTGCTCAGATTGATCAATTCACTATTGTGATCATACTTGGAACAAAAACTAGGAGAAACTTTAGAATATGGCGAGAATTATCGGAATCCAATTGCCACATTAACCTCTGTATTTAAGACAAGAGAAAATGATAAAAAGAGCACTTGAGCATATCACTCTAGTACGAGTGTTGTATCCATATCTAATCAACCCATTAGATCATGATCACAGCCACTAACTCATAGTTGATCCGGAAAAGAATTCTCAGAAGTAGAAGGCTAGCAGTAGAATCAAGAACAGGGGGCCTATTTTATCCTACATTGACCTAGAGTTTCACAAACTGGAGTCCTGCTTCTGCAAAGGAAATCTAGCGTTCTCCTTTACAGCCTTAGCCAAGCATATAACCCAATGTCAATTGAGGTGTCCCTTATAGGTAGGGGCAAAATATGCAAATCAGAAGTGATGTTGTGAAGCAATAACTATAATTCTCAGAAAACATTCCCAGCAGCCCCAAGCTTTTTGGATGTCAAAAAAAGAGACAGAAGAAGTGAAGAGAAAGAGAGAGGACTATCTGACGCAACAGCCCTCAACTTTGGATTTTTTGGAATATTAGGAGCAAAAAAACCAGAATTTGTTTTGCTGGATGGACCAGGATTTAGGGAAGGGTATAGAGGGGAAGTAGAAGTGGGGACTGTAAAAATAAATAGTGAAATTGTCCGCCAATGAATTGTAAGCACAAATAAATATTTTAAAAATCAAGGAAACTGCAAAGGCTCTACCGTGTCAGGGTTGTTTTGTGTAAGCACAGCTCCAACCGCACCACCAAGAGACCTCCCAAATACTACTATTCTAGATGTGTCAATGTCTTTCCTCTGAATGAGGTGATCCAATGCAGCCTAACCAAAGGAAGAAAGCAACCAATTACGATTTAATAGCACATATCCAGGGGAGGACGAGATCTATACAAATTGACAAATTGCAGAACAAAAAACCTGAGCATCCCTTATGATTCCATGTTGAGAAGGGTAGCCATCACTAGCACCATAACTGTTCATTGTAAAGAAACATTAGTCTGAATTTAGATAGACAAGCAGGACACATATTACATATAACAGTATGCCACACGGTTCTTCTTAATTATTACAAAGCTGTCAAGAGAAAACCTTCAAGAATACCACAACCACATACCCTCGGTAGGAAAGCATAAATACATTGCATTGCAACCTTTGCAACATTATACGCACCATTTCAAGGCGGTGGGCAATATCTGCAGTTAACTGTAAAGGCATTTAACATAAATTCGATCTGATCAATACTTCAACAGGTACAAAAACACGAAAATCAATCCAGAAATTTTACAATGGAAATGCAATCTAAGGCATGTATATGTGTTTCAAACAATGGCAATTGAAAAAGGATACTTCCAGCATTTTCTTGGAAAAAGAGTATGGTTGGACCTGCAAAACGCACAACATTAGTTTACAAGTTCAAAAAAGTATAATAAAACCCAGCTATCTAAAAGAGGTAAAGCATAGGAGCAAAAACTGAAGCAACATATTTGAATGAATAATAAGTTAACAAACCAGTCATCGTCAAGATACTAGCACAATAACATGGATGATATAAGTATCTCAGATCATGTATTGAACACTACGACACTACACGATTTGCAGAAGTCATTAAGTCCTACATGGGACAAAGCTACAACGTATTCAAATTAAAACGGATTAGAAAGTGATATTGCCATAACTAGTGTTGCCAGGGTAAATTGATAATCAATTATGCCTTCTTATATCAAATTTAAGGGTTCCCAATATGACTGCACTAGAATGAGCACAACAATGAGATTAAACAATATTATCACTCCTTTCAACTGTAAATATATTTAGACACAAAGCACAAATAAAATTAGAAGCAAATAATCAAGTCAATCCAAGCTCTATTTATCCAAATTTTTAAGAAAATACATAGAATTCAGTGTCTCAAAAATTGAAACAGTACCAAGAGTTCATTTTAATTAGACAAAAAAATCAAGTCAATCCAAGCTCTATTTGTCCGAAGTTTTGCGCAACACGTAGATTTCAGAGTCCCAAAAACTTACAACAATTTCACCTAATTTACATATGCTACTCATTGATTCCATAAGAGAGCTCGGATCGATTTAACACAAATATATGAACAGTAAGCCCTAAATCAACAACCTCAAATTCAAAACCAATCAAGCTAAAACCAAAACCCAAACTTCACCAAATAACACATCTTCCACCTCAATTCACACAAAATCTCACATAAACAACACATACCCGATCAACACACAATAAACATAAGTACTGAAATATTTACAGAGAGATAGAGAGGGGGGGGGGATGAACCTTGGCAGTCAGGAAATAGTTTGATGAACCAGGCATGGAGGCGAACACCATCGGAGGATCTGAGCCAGACGTCCTCGTAGATGAGGCGAAGACGAGCGGGGGTCATGGGATAGGACTTGGTGAGACCAGGCAAGACCGGCACGTAGACTAGCTTTTCCTGGAACGCCACCAGCAATGCCATTCCGGCTACCACTATGCCTCCCACTCCATACAACACCAAGTTCATGTATGACACCATTCTCTCTCTCTCTCCCCTCACTTTTGGAAAGTGTATGGCGACTGAAAATCAAATTGAGTTGAGAGTTTCATCTTTCAATCGCTGCTTTGGAAATTACGCATGGGGCTGGGGTTAAAGAGGCAAGCGACGTCGTTTCGTAAATTTAGCCACTTATCTTTATATACGGTATCTAGTTTTGTTCCTTTATTTGACAATTCTAATTTGACTTTTATTATTTTAAAACTTTCATTTCTTATGTAACTCTCTCTCTTTTGCACAGTCACTCAACATTGTTAGTCTTAATATTCCTAGTTGAACTTTCATTATATTTTTATCTCTCTATCTCTTAGATTTTTTGTCTTAATAATCTTAATTGGACTTCTTTATTCAAAACATTTGTATGATTTTATAATTGATAAAATATTTAATTATTAAAAAAAAAATTCTCAAGTTGTAGACATTCAAAGTTAAGTTATTCACCAATAAAAAAATAACAAAAATTCAAAATAATCTAATTACCAATAAAAAAATAACAATGACAAATAAAAAAATAAGTGAAAAAATTGCACTAAAAAAATATTCAAAACTAACTATAATTTTATTTTTTTTGGTTTCACTTTCCTCTTGCTAATGTTCATATTTTTTTTTAATACTTGAATAATACAAAATAGACACCGAAATGACAAAATGTTGGTTAAATTAAATTTTTTTTTTTTGAAGTGGTAAAATTTTAATTTTTGTTGATTTGGTTTAATTGCAATATTTTTGTAGTATTCAAGAAGTCACATCGACAGAGAATTTAAATCAATTGTCTTTGCAACTATAAGCAGATCTTCTGAGCAGTGTTAGTTCAGTTGGAATTTTTTTTCTATTTTTTGAAAATTTGATTTGTAGTTCAATATGGTTGATTCGTTTGATTGGATTTAGTGATTTAATTGTATTCTTAATGTTATTTCTTATTAAAACTAGGCAGCTTATTCCTTAAATTTTATCTAAGGTTGAAAAAATGAACACTCATTTGGTGGAGAGAAGAGCCGCCATGAAAAAATGTATAGCATAATAATTTTGTAATAGTGTTAGTTTAAGTTCATGGAATTCTTGAATTGTATTAATGTGATATGATTTTTCTTTATTTCAACCATTGAACTTTTTTTATTTAAAACATTATTGGATGCCCCATTTACTTAACGAGTTTTTTATGTTAAGAGTGTCTTGAAGCATGTGGAATGACTAGTGTTTCAATAACTGACATAATTATATGAAGTTTTGTAAATGGATAAACTAAGAATGAATTAATATTTTATTATCATTATAAGATAATATGATCTGAATATGATACAAAAAGACTTGGGTAGTGTTTGGTAACCTTATGTTTTCGTTTTTTTTTGTTTTTGTTTTCATTTTATTGCTAAAAAAAAATAAAAACATGTTTGGTGAATGTTTTTGTTTTTTTTTAACTGCTCTATTTTGAAAACAATACTAAAATATGAAAATATCCAAAAGGATGTTATTGAAAACATAAAAAAAAAACACACACGCGTGAATCTGAAAGGGATTTAATGAAGTCTGGTTTTTGATCCTCCTTAACAACAAAAGATGGATTTTTTTACTTGACTATAAAAGGTCATCTCTCTCTCTCTGTCATTTTCTCGATGTCAAAGACAAAGACGAAGTCGAAATAGAAGGATTCAAACGCCATTTTCCCCCCCTCTCTCTCAACCTTCTTTTATTTTGGTGGTGATAATGGATTTGGGGGAGTAGTGGTGGTGGGGTTGGGCGGTGATGGGTTTGGGTGATGGTGGGTTTTTCGGGGATAGAGGTGAATTTTCAGGGGGTGGTGCTTGGTTCAGGGGATGGCGCTGGATTTGAGTGGTGGTAAGTTTCAAGGGGTGGTGGGGGGGGGGGGGGAGGGGGTTTCAGTGGTGGTGAGTTTTGGGTTGGGGTGGGGGTGGGGGTGGTGAATTTAAGAGGTTGCTGAGTATTGGGAAGGGGTTATAGGGATGGTTTTCGTTGGTGGTGGTGTTAGATGGTGAATTTTTGGTATAATATCAAATATATTTTTTATTTTTATTTTTATAATTTTTTAAATATAAAAATTTATCAAACATATTTTATATTTTTAATTTTTATCACAAACAAAAAAAAATCACAAAAACGTTGTCAAACATACTCTTAGTTTGTATGTTTATATAAATCAATGTAACATATGTTGCAAATTTTTTAGGTATCATATCTTTTACTATTTAATTTTTATTAATTTATTGGCAACTAATCATTTCTCAAATTTAAGTCAAAAACAGATCATTCACATCAAGACTAAAATACTAAATAATATTTTTATAACTTGAACCCAAAAAATTATTAAGTTTCGAATTGTTAATTTATAACTCGTCCCTCTTACCCTTCAAATAACCTGGGATTGTACAAATTCTTCTAGGCTAACCGTGCCATTAGTTATGGTCTGAACTATTAAAGATAATAGTTTATAATTTAAAAACATCCAAACATCTTAATTTGATAATTACAAATATAGGTTAAATTACGGTACAACACGCTTTTTAAGCTGACAAATCATTTGAAACAAAGCAGACCAAGTTAACCTAAATAAAGTCAAATAAAAGATCAGTTGAAAAAGTTTGACATCGATCCCAAAGAACGTGGAAGATCGCATGGTAGTTTGGTACGTAGTAGCAGCTCTATGCCTTTTATAAGGAAGCACAAAACACAATATAAAAGTTACAAAGCCAAGGATGAATTGCCCAGCCGGGTGACATGGTCTCTTGCTTGTTTCCACTTCTCACCGGACAACCGGAGCTCAATGCCGAGGTTCGTTGCACATAAGCCCCCCACTGCCTTGCATTTGAGAAGCGATGCCCGAGAACCTACGATCCAGCTGCGGGAAAATGACATCACTGTTGGTTGAACAGTTGATGCCCAAGGGGGAAGTAATTGAAGCATCATGTTTGCCAGTTTCTACTTTGACTGTGACCTCTGATGCATTTCCCTTCCGACCATATTGAGCCAAGTCTGAAGCGCAATGGGGGCTAGTGGGAGTAGGGTCCGGGGGTTGTGACTTTTTCGTGCTGAGGAAGCGACCTCCGGAACCCCTAACCCTATTCAATGCATGCATATGCCGAGACTCGTGAAGGTATGGCTACAATATGAACCAAAGCAAATGATTAATCAAACATTTATTTTCACAGGAGACAAAACAGATTAAGAAAGGGGATCAAAGTTTGTGAGTAACACCATAATTATTCAGCATAATGATACCAACAGTGTATGTGTTACCATTCTGACTGTAAGTAATGAAGTGAGAGGAGAACTGAAAATATACGGGATGGGGACAACTTCCCAGAAATGCAAATACAAAAAACCTGAAAAAGTGTAAATTTGTTTCATCCCTTCCACACGCCCACCATAAAAAATAAAAACTTATCAACCACCATCACCAGAAAAAATGAGTCACTCCACTATCAATTTTAACATGCTCCAAAACATTGTTGTGCAAACCTCAAGCATAAACAAATCTATTATCTACCCTTCACAAATTTGATAGAAAGAACATCATGTTTTGAAACCCACCATATATGGGTCTCATTACATAGAACACATATTCAAAAGGTGCAATACTTGGATGAGTATTTATCACCTGAGTTGCATACTCTTTTTATCTTGGGAGCTGTTAAAAAGATTGACGCTACTAGAATTGACCCAAAAAAGAATGAAGATATCAAAACATAGATGGTGGCTACCAATCGCACTTTCTTTCTTATAGTTCCTTTACTTTTCAGATTTTCCATCCTTTAGTCATTTAGTCATGGTAAGGTCATGGGGTAAACTGAGATAAAAGCAGAAAAATCAATACCAATTAAAGAAGATTGAGTATTAGTGCATATAAACTTCTTACCCTTCGAGTTTTGACAAGTTTCTTTTGAGCCTCAAGTTTTGCACGTGTCTGTCTCCTTCTGAGGATTCCATTATACTGTTTTGCATTGACATAAATGGGGCCATCTTCTGCAAGATCAAGAGGCAATGGGACCCGTGCAGGTGCTATGCCCACAACCTGGGGCGGAAACTGATCAAGTTCCAAACTACCATCATAAAATGAACCGTGAAAAGAAAACAAAGTATCGATTTAAATGAAGTTAAAAAGGTGTGTTCCTATCGAAAACCAAAATAAAAAATAGAAAAATTAAGCTGAACGGTCTCATCATTTTGTCTCTGCCTTTCTAGATATATTTTAGTTTCAGATCAACGGTATTATTTCTAGTTTCAAACATGCTTCCTACCTTTTCAAAATAATGTTGAAAAGGTGAATTCCTACCGGCAAAAAAACAGCCTCATCATCTTTTGCTCTTGAGCAAATTAAAGTAGTATCGAATATAACATTAGATTATTTCTTCAAAATTTCATGGAGTGCACAAAGATACACCAGCTAGAAGGAGAAAAAGGCTACTAGGAGAAAAATGGCATCAATTACCCACAATAAACAAAAAGTTTAAAAAAAAAAAAAAAAAACAGGTACAGTAGGCATGCCTCTGACTTTTCAGACATATCTTAGTTTCAGATTAATGGTATGATTTCAAGTTTGAATATGCTCCCTAACTTCCATGGCATATAAACAAAGTACAGAGAGCAATCAAATCAATCGCATGACATAATTTGAAAGAGGAAGCAAAAAAGAAAAGAACAGAAAAAGAAAATTCATCACTCTCATACTATGTAACTGAACCTCATCTGATGAATTTGGCAAGTAAGAAAGAGAATTCCGAGGCAAACACCATTAAACAAACAAACATCCCCCATATTTGACACCAGATTATGATTAGGGATTGTTGCTACTCCACAAATTGCACTGCTAGAACCACAAAGGCAGCAATATCATATTGGTTAACGAATTAGACGAATAGAGAATGTAATCAAGAGTACATACCATAGCCTGTGGTCCATAGGCAGTGAATAAACCATTGCAGTACGGATCAGCATATGCATAAGGAATTCTTGTCTGAAATGGAACTTACTTATAAGCATCAGATTAACATCCAAGCCAACATTAGAACATAGAAACAACTCAACTTACCATAGATGGATTCATATCAACTTGTGAATGACTGATGCCAAATTCTGAGTTGTCCATCAGAAATAAAGGCTTCATAGGGGCTTCCACACGCTGTCTGTAGCTTTCATCTTGAACTGAGCACATGGAAGGAACAATCAGTTCGATGTTACACTACGCAGTCATAAGAGCAACAATTAATGTTGGCAACTGGGGATATATTTTCACATAAATTGGTCAAGGTAGCACATTTTTGGTCCCAAATGTAAGATAGTGGATACAACAGTAAATAGATTTAAAAAATGCAGAAGTGCAAGGAACTTTACACAAAATAATCGAAGTCCAACCATACTATAATAGACATTTTTCTTCAAAATGTGCTTACAAATATAGGTGAAAACATAGCAAAAATTATCAAGCAACTAAGAGTATCAATACCAGATTCTGCACAAATACATTGATCATGAGTCTTGGTCTTTCCCGTAGCAGCTCTTTCTTGTTGAAATTGGCCAGTTGAATGAGTCAACGACAGGTCCTGGTCTTGAATTTGAAGAACTAAATGCTTTGGCTCTCGACAGTTTTTAGGTGGAGATTCCTCTATCAAGCTCAACTTTTTCAAGGATGTGTCAGGAAAATGGTGTTCATGCACACTGTTCCATGATGAACAACTACCAGCATCATGGGGCATGGAATGCTTAGAACTCTGACCAAACTTTCCCTTGGGGAGGTTTTGAACCCGTAAAGCCATCTATTTTATCAGAGCATCTGAACTATGATCCAAAATCTTTCAGATACTCAGCAACGGCCTGGTGAACTCTTAAACTTAGCTTCCAGCTGCTGAAGCAAATACAAAACAAATTACCCATGCCTGATTTATCAGAATTATATGAACTACCACAACCCATATAGAATCAAATCAGAAAATGACAAACACAGAAGGAAGAATACAAAAGCAATTATGAAATAAGGATATTACATTCAACTCCTAAAACCAAAACATGTTCAGCACATGAAAACCAAAGTCAAGATGAGAAAACAACTACTTGGGTCAAAAAAAAAAAAAAAGTTGAAGTACTGAAATTTTGACGCAGACAAAGCCTTGGTAAATTCTATTAACAACACCTTTCTATTTTCACACTTCAATATGCATTCCCCACCAAAAAAACTTAAGCACCTTGCTGCCATTTCATTCACAAGTGTAATTCACTGGGATGACGGCCAAATGCTGAAAAATTTAACGTAAAGAATGGCGATAATCTAGTGTAGGTGCCGATCAACATGCATGAATTACAATAAATTGAAAAAATCAAATGCAAATAACAATCAATCTCAACATTTATCTGACCATGTCACATAATAACAAATTAATGAATAATGAGGGATATGGTAGGGAAACTAGGCTCACCGCCACATCAATTTTCACAAGAGAATTAAGAGCTCTATCTCAATGCCATTTCACCCACAATCATGTTCATCAACCTCAGAGATATTTAACTCAGCAATCATTTTTCACACTCACCTGGAGCGCATTAAAAGTGATATACACAATAGGCGTCTAGGGCAGCGCTAGAAAATTAACACCTCTCAATTTAAAGCCTATTACATTAAGCCAGCAGCAGAACCCTACTTCCAAAAAATAACAATTAAAGAATAGAGGGAATATTCAACTACTTAAGTAAACCAGTACTGGAGTTGGTGAGCTTCCAGTACGATGATAGAATACAATAAATGTAAACACCTAACAAGAACTGATTACCAAATCAGAATAGTCCTTCTCTTTCTTAGAATGGGGTTAACTATGTAAATCCAATAAATCATACAAAATGTGGAAAGTGAGCACCAAAACAATCACAGAGATTCCTCTAGAAAACCAAAATAAGCATGCATTCTTGCTCAGTACTCAATTAACCAACCACTGATTACTTATCAAACCTAACCACTTATATCAAAAGGGTCATCAAAACCCCATAAACAATATTATTATTAAGGAAAACCCAGATAAATCTTGATATTATAAATAGAAAGGAAGGTAAACAGAAGTAAGCAGAATAGAGTAACACAAACCCACAGCCAAAATGAAACTGCGTGAATATAGCAAGTCAGAACCCAAAAGTCCCCTAGATTTTTAACAAGGAGAAATTTATCAAAAGCAACAAGAAAAACAAATTCAGACCAAACAAAAGCAATAACTTGAACTAAATACCCAGTCCCATAAACCACTGAATCAACATCATGATTTCAAAATCTGCATGCATTGAAGAAGCATTAAAACAGACCACAAACGATAACTATTCTACACCCAACGAAAAAAAATAAAAAATAAAAAACCCCACAAAAGAGGCAAGATACACAAGGAAAACAAAACTGCTAATACTCATACACATGTAGGTATATGTCTATATATATGTGTGTGTGTGTGTGTTTGTGTGTGGAAGCAGTAAAGGAAATGAGAGACACCTTTTGGGATCTGCTAAGATGAGAAGCAGCAAGCAATACAGCTGTTGGGATGAAATTGGGCATGTCTCCTCCCTTCAAACCTTCAAGTCTTCCCTCTAGAAACTCACTCTCTCTCCAAAAATCATTTGCATCGTCTAGGCTTTGCTGTCACTGTATAAACATCCCCAGAAGACTGTATTTCTATGATAATTAATCTCAATATAATAAAGACACCCCACCACCACGCACCACCATTGCCATCACAGTTCTAAATCCCCAACCTGTTTCTTTTGTTTTTGTCTTTTTTAGCATTTAACGTCTTCTTCTGGTTGGGACCCACCATGCCAGACGAAAAAACACAGACAGAGAAACCCCTTCACTACCTCGGCCTTGTTGGCTCACTACAGTTGTTAGCCGCCCTTTGCTGTGCAATGTAATACCTCACGCGCTAACCCTGTGGTGGTTTAATTTAACCCTTATAGGTAGTGACGTTCACGCTCTTCCATGAGATTGAGCCTAAAATACCTCTAGTTTTCTTGTAGTTTTACCCTTTTTAGTCAATTTATTTTCGATAATGCTACGTATCCAGTTCCCCTGACGAGTTGAATAGCGACACTTCTTTGTTCGGACGACCACTATTTTTTGTTTTATTTTCTAAAATGCCCCTGATTCTAATTACTTTACCCTGAATTTTGATAGAGACGAGGTTTGAGGTTAATTTAATGATCGCTAATCTATCGTCGGACTTTAAAATCACGGATTCAAACCTCGTGATCCACTGTTTTTTATAATAATGTCTGCTCAATAGGCTGAATCTTTTTCGGCAGTTAGTCACTGCAATTTGAATTGAGTTAGAGTATGTTCTTAAAAGACAAATAAGACTAATAATTGAGTTGAGTTTTACAAATTCGAATCAAGTTTATCAAACTCATTTTTTTAAACAAACCTAATAAATGCGGCTCATTCAAATTCGAGCAGAGCCCAAGTTGCTCAATTGTTTTATATATAGGCGAATCGAGTTTTGTGAGATTGAATTAAATTTTTTGAGGCTCGTTTTTTAAATAAGTTTAAAAAATTATTCAAATTCAACTCGTTACACAAGTCGAGCTTGAATTAAGTTTAATTTGAGCCGAATTTAAATAACTTGGCTTAATTATCAGTCTTTAAGGACAAAGGTGAAATTTAATTTCTTCATATCGAAATAAATTAATAGAATTACTATTTTTTTTCAATTGAATCAGTAATATGGCACCTCAATTCATCATGTATACTTAGAATATTTCTACATGGATGCATCCGATATCTTTGTCTGATAGTGGGATGGAGAATGGCTGATGGTTGTGAGAAAGGGACTTTTATTTTCTAAGTCACTTATTTATTTTATTTAATACTTATAAAGAATTGGATAAAAGGAAAAATTTAAAGAGGGGAGGGTAGTTTGGTAAATAGATGTGACAGTTGGGGGCTATGTTTTGTTGTGCCCCTTCGTCCTCGAAGATTAGCATTAGGGCCTGGAATCTAGCGGCCTATGCCTATTAGCATAGAGCAAGAATTGGGAGTCCGGTGGAATTTGGTGCCTTTCGGTCACAAAAATGACAAAGTAATGCATTTATATTCAATTCATGTAGTAATACGTGTGGTATAAAATCAGTGACTTGTGCCGTGAATTTTTTTTAATTATTTTAATATATATTTAATTTATTTATTAATTATATTATATCAGATTCATTTATTTATAAAATGAAAAGTTTAAAGAATACCCAAATTTTTTAATTTTATATCGTATTACTTTTTAATACATTTAACGTGTGTTTGATTTTACTATTAAGAAAGAGTGATTAGAGAAAATATGTATGAGTTTACTTTATCTCGCTTATACTCATATTTGAATATATAAATGAAAAGTTTATACTCATATTATTACCTAAAAATACTATCGACCCAGGTGAATGACGCTTCTAAACTCACATAATAGTCTCTTAAATAAATAAATCCACCTATTTAGTGGGTTTAAATACTTTGGTTGAAAGAATTCCTGCAAAAATATATTTTTACCCTCAAGAATATTTAGGATAAAAATATCAATATTTGTCTTGAGGGTGTTTTAATAATTTATTATTTATACCATCATTTAATACTCTATCAAAATAAAATATTAAATGAAATATATATGGAACCCACTACTTTTTAATATTTGAACCAAATATATAATAAAGAGATGTTATTATTATAAAATTAGTTCAAGAATAAGATGAATGAGTATGAAATAAATAGATTTATCTAATTTAATCTTTTTTAATACTTAAATCAAACACACAATAAAAATTTAATAATTGACCAAATAACCATTGTCCCTTTTAAATAGATAACGAATTCGAACAACATTATCTCCTGATTAAAAAAAAAAAAATTCATGAATGACAAAACGACACCGAAAGAGACAAATAATGGTCCAGTTACAATCAAGGCAGACCAATTCAAAGTTCGGATCCCCATCTTTTGACTTTTCCCAATATCTGTCTTGCGTTTTCAAAAGAGACAAGATAGGTTTTTTTGGGCACTACCAGTAGTCTAGTACTAGCCCTATGAATTGGGGATAGAATTTCGGCGGATTCTCCAAACTTTTGCGTTTAGAAACGTTTTTATTTGAAAAATTTTGGCCACGCTACTCCTGGTTTATTATATTTTTAAAAATATCTCTTTTATTATTAAAAATATCACTGACATTTCTTCTAATTTAATTTAAACATCACTGACACCCCTTACTATTTCTAACAAAAAAATTCATCTAAAATACAAAAAATACCCCTACATAAACCTCAAGTAATTTTTCTACATAAAATTTTACTAAAATTCGAACTGTTAAAATTTTTAAAAAAATTTATAAATAATTTGTTAGTAAATACTAATTTGTTATTTACTAATTCATAAATTTTAAAAAAAAATTGAGCCTATTAAAATTTGATCCGATTTGAATTCTACCCAAGTTGTTAGCTCCGATTAAAATTTATATTTTTTTACTTATAAAATTCGATATATTAAAACTTGAGTCAATTAAAAATTATATTTTTTTATATATTAAAATTTGGACTAATTAAAATTCAGTGCAAATTGATTAAAATTTGATTTGAGTCTATTAAAAATAATTTTTAATTGGCTCAAATCAAATTTTAATTAGCCCAAATTTTAATATGCAAAAAAAAAATAATTTTCAATTGGCTTAAATTTTAATATGTAAAAAAATAAATTTTAATTAACTTGAATTAATTTTAATCGGCTTGAATTTTAATACGTAAAAAAAATTAAAAAATAGAGGGGATCTCATTGAAGATATACTTATCTAGAGAGGGGTCTCATTGAAGATATGTTTATCTAAAGGGGGTGTGGATGAAATTTGTCTTTAAATATATCATGAACAATTTAGTAAAATTGTATTCTAGTTAATATTTTTAATCTGACAATGAGTGTCATTGAAGATTCAGAAAATATAAGGGGCCTCCTTAAAAATATGGTAAATTAAAGGGAATGTGGTTGAAATTTTCCTTTTTATTTTTTTTGAAAAAAGGTGGGACAGAAAATATGTTTGGTTGTAATTTTGTTTTGGAATTCTCGTGACTCAAACTCTTAGAAATAGTTCAATGGTCGAGTTTAATTTTTGGTAATCCAGAGATCTCAAGTTCAATTTTTTTTCACACCCTTTAAAGATTAGTCATCCCCATATTTTTAGAGACATACTCTAACCCAATTCAAATCACGGTGACAAAATGCTGACCTTGAAAGAATAATCAACACAAGCCTGTATATCGAGGAAAAAAGAATTTTGGTGACCCACCTTGAATATCTTGAATTCAATCCAATAAAATCTCAATTATACATGAAATGCGATTGGATTGAGATGTGGAATTTAACGCGAGTTTGTTAATCTAGACTGTGTAATTCAAATTTTAAACCTGAATTGAACTTAATTTTGTGTCCTAATTATGGAGTAGCAATTAGAGCATGAAATATTCTTTTGATTATTTGACTGCTTTTATAATTTGGGTTGACATTGATTTTCACAATCTGTCTAAACGAATCTCTGTCACCATTGATCCGAACTTAAGAAATTAGCAAGCTTAAACAGGGTCCGTCCCTAAACACAGCTTATACATAACACAAACCCAATTATACATGGATTAGTTACAACTTAAGCAAATGTTGTCGTAACATGGCAGGGACACCACAGCCCTGTTTCAGCATGTGCTAGTACATTTCAATATTCACCAATTTGCTTCACAGAAACCATTTCGTTGCGGAAAAAGATTGGGAATGTTTGTCGTCGGTGCTATGCCAAATTAATAAACACTCTCATTAGCCAGCCACCATTTCCATGAAGAGTTTCCAAAACCAAAACGTATAGAAGAATCTGAACATTTAGATGCATGAATGGATAAAGCAAAATCCAAAATTTCTTCTTTTTTTTTTTTTTGGGTCAGGAACATCCAAAATTTCTGGCAAATTTTAAAATTACACGTCTCCGAGAAAAAGAGTCGTGATACACTGAGGGATGCCAATTTGCTTGATTCCCATGACAATATGATTCATAAATACATGTGAGAACCAGAAACCTCGACGCCTTTGTACATCTTTTATGATACACCGGCACAACCACTGCTTCATTTAGAGCTTTCACCAACTGTGTCCACATAATTTATCAGCTGTGCCCTGAAGCACATGACCGTGAGGGAAAAGAGTCAGTCTATTTCATGAAGGATCACAAATGGCAGTATCAGTTGTCTGAAAATGTAGATTTCTGAACTCATCACTTAAGAACTACTAAAATTATTGAAAAAGACATCATATCTACATGTTTTCAGGACTCACCAGTTGCAATCTACAGGTCTATCTCAATCTTTTCGGACCATTTGAAGATATCAGAGTGAACTTGATCTGCCCCCAAGTCTTCTCCAGTAGCCCCTGCAGCTACTCTTATAATATCTTCTATTAGCGCAAAGTTCCCCATTATATCAACATGAGCACCACTCTGGGTTCCCCGGCCCTCCAGAAGATTAGCTGGAGGAGCATGATTGTATTCTCTTATGTAACTACGGATGCCTGAAGGGTTGAATCGGGTTTTACCACGCCAGGCTTTTGCACACATGAAACCTGCACTCAGAACAGGAACGGTTTCATCTCCGTCAACAGAAATGACTCCACCTTTTAAACAAGTGCCCTCGTTTCCACCCTCGGCTGAGGTATCAATCTGGAAAGGAATGTAGCAATCAGAAGCCGGACTAAACTTGTAAACATATGCTCTTTCAGTGGGTATTCCAACTCCATACATTGAAAACATCTCCATGGCCGGAGCGTTGGGTAATCTGCAAAAACATCACAGGAAAAATAATAAAAAAGAGAACATTCCATACACATCTAATTTGACCAAATATTAAACAACCAAATCCACTTCCATCTCCAAACCCCACCTCCCCAAAAGAGGAAAAAAGGGAGGACAGGCAGCAGCTACCAACAGTAGAGAAAAATGGTGGTGTTGTGTTTTTTTTGTTTGGAGGGAGAGGGGCGGGGTACTTGCTTCATTTGCATCAAGCTACTCATTCTGATTAGGGCATCTACATGCAAAGAACATATATGGAAGCTTAACCTTCAGAAGATCACAGGATAGTTCTCTCAATAACCAAACCAAAGCGACATTGAGCAGTCTTTTGAAACAAGAGGTGGAGAGTGTACACACGCACGCAAAAAAAAGAGGGGGTAGAGAGGCAAAAAACGAAGGTGGGAAGAATCACAAGATAAAAGGATAGTTTGAAATAAGAAAGAAAAGACGATAGGGTCTCACTTTGTTTCTAAAGGATTTGACCAATATTTATAATGCCCATATTTTGGGTCACCCAAATCATCAGCAATTCCATAGGAAAAATGAGCACCACCACGCTTCATCATCTTTGGAGCAACAAAATGAAGCAGATCCAAAATCGATCCAGCTGTATAAACTTTGTAATCTGCAACAGCTTTGACTCCCCCAATGCCCATATCATGATACTCAGTCCATACATCACGGCAAGTTGTGTTTGCAAGGTTATTACCCTTAATAGCACCCTGCAGACAAGAGTGAAATACCTAAAAAGAGATTTAAGGCATACAATGTAAAGCTTAAATGAGTGACAAGGTGGGAGGCTTTAAGATGCATGGCAATGACTTATTATGTAATGATTTAAGCCAATGCCATCTTCTTAATAAGATGAATGAATCAATATTAAACCTCAGCTGTCCCCGAATGCAGAAGCAATTGCAATTGTAATGTACATAACCAAACTTACTAACCTAAACTAACATAAAACTGGACTCAAAATTGAACAGAGACTTGAATATAGGAGGCCCAAAGCATGTTCCTTATATGCTCTGCATTATTGACCTCACGCAGAACCAATATGTACTCATAGATGTTGAAAGCATCAAGCACATACAAGCAATACAATTATCTGCTACAGAAGGTTGTAAACATTATCATGGCACTATAATGCTGGTCCACATATTTACGTCTTCCTTGCATATGATACATACGTTAGATTCAACCCATCTCTTATCTAACCTAGTATTCAGTTGTTAGGATTTTGGCTGAAGTACCTGCTTATCAAAGGAGGTAACATTGGTTGGAGAGGTAGCCCTTCTCTCACTTGCAAGTGAATGTTTATTTTTCCTTTACGTATCCAATTCCAAGAGAAGAAAATAAAAGAAATTGAAAGTTAATAAATGAAACACTTCAACATTGGGTTCTAATGCAATCTGTTTTGCAACCACACCAAAATACTTGGCAAAATCCACTGGAATAGAGTAAAGCTTGTAAATTTAAACCTTTGGTGCATCACCTCAACACCAAATATCATGTCAAATGTGACAATCATCCCAAACTACTAGCCCAATTTCTTTCAGCTTTTAACTTGTGCTCTTTAAAGCATCAATAATCCAACCTTACAAGGCATTATTTCACAGAGATGCATCTGGCAATCACCAGCTCATAGTCACATTTCAAGCATTAAATCCACAGCTTATTCACCCTCCATGCTGTATCTATAATCATGTTGTCTATATTCTTCATTAATGACCAAATAAAAAAACATAAACTCCCATCCCACTTGTTCACTCAAAACCCAAAATGATCAACAACAGCCTCCAAGCTGGCTCAAGATGGTAAAATTATCTAGAAGATGAAAAATTGCACCATTCACTTACTTAAAATGATGGAGATTTCTGTTGCTGCACTCCTATTTATTCTACAAACAGAGTTCAGGGCATGTTGCATCCGTTACATCTGTATTTCTCAATTTAACGGAGTCTCATGATGAAGATACCGTTAAAGGCTGATATAGAAAGCTGATAGTAAAAAGAAGTATCACGATAAGCTCTAGTGAAATCTACAAAGGAACAAATGAACAATCAGAGGCATGTACAAAGGTTCTTGCACATTTAACTCAGTCTGCTGTTGCATTGAAAACTGATTGCTCTACCTTCAGCAAAAAAACAAAAAGCAAAAAGAATTTGTTTTTTTGTTCCCCAGAGAGAGCTCTTAAATTTCTGTTAAATACTTTTAAAACTAAGCAATCAAAATTGAGGCTCAAACATTACCCTGAAATCCACCCTATCAATCTTTGATGAATGCATCTCAGCTACATCCTTCCCAAACGATATTATTCTTCCATAATTGACATGTGTTGCATTTCCTGAACTCCCTTTCCCATTCTGGCCAGCAATTTTCGTATCATTGTTCTTCAACTTCTTTGCACTACATTCATAATCTCCTTCTGGTGACCAATCAAGGTCACCCCAGATAGCATCCCCACCTTTTGGTATCATTGACATTGTTGAATCCCATGTACGAGTCATCCGCATTGCATGCTGTAAGGTTTGAAAAGCAAATACGTCTATATCCAGAACACCTGGTGCAATAGCCCTGCATCAAGAGCAGGATTTCATCCAAAGTCTGTTAGTGGAAGTGAAATGCACAACATATCTTCATTTCAATATTAACAAGGTTTTTCAATACATAATACTTGGTGCAACATGCACACAAGTTTTTGGACAGATCAGGGCTAAGCATTTGGACAATGTAATGGCATTCACAAATTAAAATGGCTTCATGAGATTTTATCGCAACACAATACCTACAAATATAGAAAAATCCCTGGAAGAATACAGATTAATGTGTGTGTTTTATTTAACACTCCGAAACACAGAACATTCTCCCACGCTAGTTTCCAAACACATGAGAAAGACTCTAAATGAATCTATAGTGAGGAGAAAGGACTTGATCCATAAAGAAAGGCATATTTTTACTTATTCTGCATGTTCTCTGAAAGTTGAAAAAAAGATGATTCCAATTTAAGTTGGGTAGAGGGGGTATTTCCCTCGTAAGATTACACCCTCACAGGAGTTCCATGAGATGAAAAAGTTACGTGATAGGCCTCAAGAAGGTGGGATGAAAAGCGAGTATGTAGAGGCAATTCAAGATGTGTGTGTGTTGTGAGAGAGAGAGAGAGAGAGAACAGGGTTACAGCTGGCTCGCTCAGTTTTTCCAGAGCTGACAATGAAATAGAATTGGTACCTTGTGCTTGAAATTCTAGCATTTCAAAACGAAAATCCAGCTCCATTGGTAGAGCCACAAGAAAAACTAGAACCTGTTTTATTTTATAACTTTTGCCAATGCATCGCACAAAGGGACTCATCAACATAACCAAAACATCAGCAGGGATTCTACGTGCAAGATATCTTTACTTAAACCCGGAAATTGTTTCTTTCTTCTTTTCTTTTTCCATTTCCCATCTAAGGCCCAGTGTGGAACGTCCAAATACTCTTTCCTGCTAATTTGTAATAGAGAAACTAAAAAATTCACAACTAACTTAAAATTCTCTCTGTATCAAATTTGATATCAAGTATTTAAAAGTTGAAATATCAAACCAAAGCTGAAATAACCATGAACCTTCTAAGTTCTAATAATGCAAAATAATACGATAGGATACTTTGAAGAGACTGTGCTCAAAGCAATTTCTTTAAATCAAAATAGAATTTAAGCATAAAGGCAATGAAGGCCTCACGAATCTCCAAAGGCAGTGGAACAATAACTTTGATTCCATCAGTATGCACAAAAAATACTGGGCTTTGATCTTTGAAAACTCTCTCCTATCACTCTAAGCACTACATAGTGGATTAGGATAACAAACACCCATATGAAGTTTTTCCAAGAGTTTGCTTAGATAATTCTGCTGTATCAAGCAGTACGCAAAACATTTATGACTATGCTTCATATTCCCTAAAACCCAGACCAGGAAAACAAAATTATATCAATGTTTCTTTCCTACCAAACCAAACTTATATCACATAGAAAAGTTTGACAAAAAAGAAAAGGTGGCAAATTATGGTGATGACCACCTGCTATTATTCAGTCAACTAGTTCAAAGAACTGGTTTAAAGAAAAACCTGGCAACGGCAATATCCTTGGCCTCAGCAGAGAACAATCCCGAGATCGCTTTAGGAACACCCAAGAATGGTCCACCAATATTCATTACAGCCTTTATATGCTTAGCACACCAGTCTGATCCACCCCCACCACCCATTGGAGCTGGTGCCTCAACCCACTTCATAAAATGCAAGAAGTACAGAGCACCCATTGAATGCGGAATTACAACTACCTTTTTCCCACCACTTGTAGCTACCACGAGTTCTATATTACTTTTTATCCTGCTCAGGCTTTGGTCACGTACCTGCTCAATTCCAGTTTTTGCAAAATAATCATCTGACAAGATTACTATATTAAGGAGGAAAGATAATAATGATGCAAGAAAAAATTTCAGTTGTTACGTCCCCATTAGCGACTGGCCCTTGATAGACTGCAAATAGTTAGGATTAAGGCTTGGTTAAATTGTTACAGCCCTCAATAACTGTGCATAGGAGTCATCATCAAGCCTACTGTTGGAAAATATCTCTCAATGCTTGTCATGCAGTCCAACAGTCCATCTATCAATCTGATTTGAGTTTTGAGTATCAGCTTATATGTATCATACTTCATTTTAGAGGTTCTTTTCATATCTTTTTCCAAAGAAAGATGAGTTTTGGGATCTAATAACGGCTGATAGCCGGCTACTTCCCATATTGTGCATGCATGATTGGCATTGCAAAGATATGTACTTGACCTTGGGGAATATGGATTCCATATAGAACTTACTGAAAAGTGTGAGAATAACATTTCCAGTGAGTGCAACTTGATTATAACTTTGTACTAAATAAAAGAAGGCACGAATGCATGTTTGAGTAAACCATACCATCCCATGTAAAAAGAAAAGACGCTGATGGGGAAAGATGTCTTATGTCATGAGTGTACCTCAGTATTCTGAAATGAGAGCCTCCAATCATATGCAGCCATGTACATATTTTTTTCCTCGTATCCGATGCGAGCCAAATTAGCAATCAAAACTGCCCATACAAAATAACCCGCAGCAAAGTAATCAGCTGCCACAAGTCCAGATACAGGCCTGATCCTGATGCCGGAAGGATCCAATCCAGTTTCATTATCGAGTGACATGTGCTCAACCCAGCATAAGGGTCTGCAGAAATTAACACAAATGAATGGGTGTAAACACCATTTACTACTTAATACCACCAACTCTAGCACAACAGAATAAGATTTTTTGTTCAAATATATGGTCTAGGGCACCAAGAAAGAACAAAAAGTGGAACAGGTTAGTCATGATTAATCTGCACAGTTACTAAATTCAAAGCATAAGACAATTGCTTAGAAGGACAAGCTTCTGGGAGTCAATCATACATGACACTACTTAAGTGAAATGTCTCAATGTGTTACACAGAGACCTAGCCAACATTCTATTTACCTTCGTTGAGGGGAGAACAACATCAGCTTAGTAGCACCTAATTAGTTTCTGATCAATCAATCTCCACTAGAGTTTCAACTAGTATGAGGATCTTTTGCATTTTGATGTTTAGTACTTTCTCATTTTTAGACTAGCTATCTCTGCCTCCTTTGGGATACTAAAGCTGCCAATCATAACAAATGAATGAAACCATGTGAATACAATCTTTCACTGAAGCTTTTTTCATTCACTAATTTCTCTGTCCTTTTGTCTCTGTTTTCCATTATCTAGTATCATTTCTTTCTTACCCATACACTGATGAGCTTAAAAGACTCGGACCAACAACCTTTCAGTGGTCCATAACATTAATACAAAGCAAAAGCAACTTTATGAAACAAGGTTAAATCATCCAGTCTACTGCCACTTGTACAAGACCACATCACATCCCACTTACCAGGATAATAATTTCTACCATCAATTTAAAAGGTTATTAGGAATCCATTCCTACTTACAAAAAATCAAACATTGAAGCTCACAATTGGACAATAAAAGGCACTCTTTTAATAACTACACGCCTTTCCTAACACATCACCAATCAACAAATGTAATAGAAAACCAGACCAATTCAAAAACTACTCTTCACAACCCAATCACAAAATTGACAACTAATCACTGAAAATACCCACAAAAAAAGAAAAAACAATTACCTTTTGTACACTTCACCAAATGTACCACCCCAAAGCCTCTTCCTAAACAACCCTTCAGCACAATGGTGGCCTTCCCACAACTCAAGCCCACCGGTGACAATTCCCGGCACGAAAACCACCGGGTGCTTCGCCTTCAACCCTTCTTTGCACAATTTCACCCCCGGAGGGTCCGGCAATGGCCCGGTAATCGCCTCCGTCACATATTGAGGAAACGAAGCCGGCATTGTATTGTATAGAAAAAGCAATAGCCACCAAATCGAACATATACACCCAATGAACCAACAACAGCTATCAACACAGCCCCATTTCTTCAATTTTCGATTGTTTTCAAAATCGTCGGTTTCTTTGCTCTTTTTCTCTCTCTTCTCCTCGATTGGAGGCTCTGAGTTCGAGGGTTTCTTGGGTTCTGTACCCTTTCTACGCCTCAACATCGACATGTTGTAATCTATATATCTATATGTATGTATAGGTTGAGTAAATGAAGGTCCCTTATAAATGGTCTGATACAAAGCTTCGGGTATCCAATTTATTACTTACCAGTACTCTGAGCTTATCAAACCCTTATTCCAGTATATATTTACAGATATTACAATATGTCTACGTGTATAGAAAGAGGTAGGCGAAGGGGTGAACGGAGACGGAAGGTCCGGTGGATTGTAAGCCGGAAAAAGTATGGATCTGAGTGGGACCCAGTACGGGAATTTTTGGGATAAAGAGAGACACGTGGTCTGATAGAGTGAGTTGTGGAGCTAGGTTTGTGCATGGCTATGGAGGCTGTAATGGGGCATTTGAGGGTGAGGTATGGAAGATGGCTTGACGTTGGTGGCCCTGGGGGGTATGGGGTATGGGGTATGGGGTATGGGTATTGGAGAGAGTATAGACTTTTGATTTTGATGGGTGGGTTCGTTAGTTGGGCTTTTTTGGAGGGTTACTTGTCAGCTAAAAAGGCTGTTAGAGATTGTCTTGACTTCAAGTTCAACCGCCCAAAAAGGGTGCCAAAAAAAAATAAAAAATTACAATCTTTGTAATTAGCGGTATTTAATACAGGCGAGTCAATCGGGATTGACTCAGATAAAATTCGACATGAATTTGACTTGTGTTTCAAACAAATTGAAAAGATAGTTCATTTAAAAAAATAAGTTTAAAAAATTCAGTTTAAATTTATAAAATTCAGTTCGTTTATATGTAAAATAGTTGAGTTATTTAGATTTGGCTCTCGGCTCAAGTTCTAAACGGGTCCAGCTTGAATAATTTTTTAGATTCATTTAAAAAAATAATTTCGTCAGACTCGATTCGATTAACACTCATATTATAATATTTTATTAATTAATGCACCAGCTCATACTCAGTTGCAAAATAGGGTGTCTAAAAAGAAAGAACCGGCACTTGGTAGAGTCTTGCAAGGCCAGGACATGCTATGGGCCAAAGAAGTTCAAAATCATTTCTTGAGTGATTGTACGAGATTTTTTCTTTTCTCATTCAAGATATTATGTATAATTAAAAAATTTACTGCTAAATTTAATAAGTGAAAATAAAGTCAAAGTGTTAGTTCTTTTATTTATTACATAAAATTAAAGTTTAATTCATTAAATCATATTTTTAATGTATATGGATTGGATTTTATTATAATGAAATAAAGGCCTCTTTATTGAAATTAAGGTTTTTTTGGGGGGTTAAAATTTAGATCTAATTAGATTGTTTAATCAGATCATATTATTGGACCGAATTGAAATATCGAAATAAAATCTAACAGATAAACCAATTGGATTTCTATCCAAATTTATTATCTAATTATTTTATTTTTAAAAAATTAAAATTAAAAAAAAAATCAAACTAAAAAGTAAAAGAGAGCTACCATATATCAAATATGGCATGACATGCAAGTAAAAGATCTATAAAATAGCATATGGAACTTGTAAATCAGTGTTGCGTTACATCTAATGTAGGTGTCATTAGGCTTAAATACATAAATGTCAATTGATGTCCTTTAATGTGGTATTATAAATTTCCATCCAAGTTAACGTCTTAGATTAATGTTATTTAGACATAAAAATTTAATTTAATTTATTGACTCAATAATGTAATTTTATCGAAACCGTCAAATTAATACTAAAGTTTTAATATTTGATGGGACTCGCAGTCACTTCCATGACTATAATAAATTAAGTCAATAAACTAAATCGAAATAACATTGGTCTTTGCTAATTTCAATTTTTTTCAACAAATAGTAATTTCAAATTCACGTACCTGTTTATTTGTTGACGTGGCATACCAAAAAGGCTTCTCATTTTAACCACTTAAACATGTTAAACTAAAGGATAATGTTGGACCGATCAACACAATAGATTAAATAATGTAATATTAATATAATTATTAAATTTTAAATAAATAAAAATGAGACTGAAAATATAATTATATCAACACCATGCCTTTTGTTCTTTTTTGGCCAATTTAGCTTGATTCTAAACTAAATTACAAAAAAGGTGAATCCATTAGTATTCTTTTTTACGCCATATCGATCCTTTTTTTTCCGTAGTATTTTTTTAAAATGAACAATCCTCTTTAGAGGATGTAAAAACAAGTGGAGTATAATGTGGTAATTTTAAATAATTTACCTCATTAGTAAATAAAAAAATCGTATCGATGATTCATATAATATATTTTGAAACAAATTATTTAATTGGTAAAAGATGAGTCCTCGACTTCTTCTTCCTCCTCCCTTTTTAATGATGGTGATATACATGCTAGTATTGCATGTGAGAATGAGAATTACGAGTGACCTATCTCCTAATTTGAGGAACAATTCCTATCTTTTTCAACCACCATGACAACAATATAATGTTGTCAAATCAATTGAAAGGAAACTTATTATTAATTTTTTTTGTTACTCGTTGAAGGTGAGTGAGATGCCAACGCAAATGAAACTGAAAGATAACCTATATTGAGTTAAGAATTCCGACACTAACTAATTTTGCATCTTCTGACATCTTTTGAGTCAAAAATTTTCATTAATGGAAACTTATAGACCCCTTTGTTCTTTTTTGGTTTGGCATCTACATGCCCCCACCCTAAGCTAAGGTTGTTGCATACGTGACTCGAGTTGATCTCAAACAAGTCTCTAGTAGATCAATCTCGGAATTCTTTGGTATGTTTTATCGTCTAATTAGGAGTATCTCGTGTTTAAAAGTACGGTATAATGTGAATTGTTTTGAAATGAATGTTGATAGTTATTAAATGAGTTTATTTAAGACAGTTTATAGACTTATTAAAATAAAGTGAAAATTAGAAGTGAATCCTCCTAAATGTACTTGTTTGAAGATCAGTTCTGTAAGAAAACTTATAAGGGATTAAGTCCATATTTAAAATTACAAATAAGAACTTAAGTCCACTTTTTTTTTTATCTCAAAAATATCCTTCCTTGAAAGGAAGTTAAATTAATTTTCTATTTTGATTTGTTATCCGTTAATTTAATATCAATTAAAATATGTCAATAAAATCTCCATCATAAATTTAAAATTTAAATTCAAAGCCCTCTCTCTCTTTCTCTCTCTCTCTATATATATATATATTATACTTTTAATGGTTTGAAGACTTTCATAAAACCTGATAAATCTTTTATTGTTTTTGCAGAAAAAGAGAGTTCGTGATTGAAGGGTTTATCAACCGATCACTTTGCCATCGAAGACTGATTCGATTTCAGACGTTTCAACTGATAAATCAGTGACTCTAGATTTGTCTGAAAGCAATATTCAAAAATTCAGAGCAAATTCAACTGTTTTTGCGTCTTTATCTTCTTCTTTGTGTGCGAGTTCGTCATCTTAGGTGAAAAACTTCCGATCATTGTCTATAAAGAAGTCTTTGGCTCAATTTCAATCCAATTCGGTTAATCAGAAAAGACAAACTCTTACGAATTATACAGTCGTCTCTTGTTTGTCAAGTTCAAACTCAGTGTTATTTTTCATTCTCGTCACTCTCTTTTTTACCAAATTTTGGGATAAACTTTGTGTAATATTGTTTACATCAGTATGTTACTATGAATTTGAATAGTAAAATTCAAATTCATGTTACTATTTTTTCTAGTATGTATTGTTTATGTTATTGCTTTTGTTGAGTATGTTACTGTTCATGTTACTATTATTTTGAACATATTACTGTTTTTGTTAAGAATGTTACTACTATTATTTTACTAAATATTAATATTCAATGTTACTATTTTTTTTATTTTTGAATATTAATATTTTTTGTATTTGAATGATATTATTTTTTGCGTTTGAATTTGAGAGAAATAATTATTGTTAAGTATGTTACAGTTTTGTTAAGCATGTTTTTATTTTTGTTGAACATGTTACTGTTGTTATTTTTTAAAAATATTAATATTGAATGTTAAGATTTTTTTTATGTTTAAATGTTACTATTTTTTTGTATTTAAATGTATTATTTTTTGTGTCCAAATTATAACTTTTTTTTTGTATTTGAATGTTACTATTTTTTTTAAACCTATATAATAAAGTAGAACAAAGTTTGAATCTAGAGACAAAGAGAGGTCCAGATTATTTTGAGAGAAAACATAAACACATCCAACGGACAACGTAATCCCAACATAAAAGACGGTTCAGATCATCTCAACAATTTTGATCTAACGGTCTACAGTGAGTACTTTATTTCCTTTTTTAGCCCAACAACATTTCCTTTTTTAATTATCAGGGATTTTATCTTTCCCCAAATCTCTCTTCCTCATCCCTTTATTTGCCTGACTCACGCTCTCTCTCTCTCTCTTTCTTCCCCAATCTCACTTCTGCCTTTTTCTCCCAATCTCTCACGCTTCTATCCCTGCCTTCCAAACTCATCCCCAAAATCTCTCAATCATGCCTCTTCCTCTCTCTACATGTAGAAAACACACATGTTGCCTTATTCTCTCCTACCCTTCTTTTTTCTCTTCTCTTTCTGCAAGCCGGAGTTACCAAAAACCAACCACTAGATAACCATAGGAGCCACCACCAAGGTATTCGCTGCTATCAATCACTCTGAGTAAACTCACACCCATAAACATTTAGTTTATTCTCTCTCATTTTCCTATTTGTTTTGCTACTAATGAACACACTGATGAAGTTTCTACATTCGATGAATCTCGAAATATTTCAGGTCTCCTCAGAGTAGCTGTTACCCAAGAAGGGTTTTGCTCTACGCCTTCAATCTTCAACGCTGACACCAATTCTCAACCTCTTTATTGGAAAGTCACAAACCCCACTCTCTCTCCTTCTCATCTCCAAGGTCAGTCCCTATTTGGTTGCCAAGAAAAAATGGAAGGTAAAAACTGATAGAAGAAGTTAAATCTTATGTCTTAATTTAGTTTTCCTAACCCAGAAACGAACGAAAAAGAAAATGTGTTATGTTGTTTTGGGACCTCGCAGTGTGTATAAAAGAGACCACGCTTTAATCAAACCAGAAAGTCATGTCTTCAGCCCTTTACCTGATTGGTATATACAACTCAACATCTTGATTTGTTTATTCTTTTGATTGTTCAATCCTCCTTGATTCATTATTTGAAAGAGTTTTGTAGGACCAATACATTGGGAGCATATCTAATATCTCCAGCAATGAGATCACACTTTGTTATGTACTTAGCAAAGATGTTGCCGACCCTCTCTTGCCCATAGTATCACCCTCAGAGCCCCATTGCCATCAACAACAGTGTTCCAAGGTATTAATCTATATTTCCTACCTCTTCCTTCTCTCTGTTTGATCCTCACTCACTCTCTTAAGACACACGCAAAACACTACACACCCACAATTTCTCTCCATCTCCTCTACTTCTCTCCCCCACAGTTATCTTTCTTTACCCTTTTCTTTTCTCCTCTTTTCCCCTCTATTCTCTCACACAGTCATACGCCTCTACTGTCCCTAACCATAGTCCTACCCCCTTTCCAGCACATAAAGTGTTTTGTTGAAATGCCTCAAAAAATAGTTTTCCCTGCTCGAGTTGGAAAATCCATCTTTCCACATGCCTTTTCTTTTTTCCTCTCCTTATTTCTCTTTCTCTCACACAGTCACACGTCGTCCCGCTTTCCACATGTTTTTTGAATTGCACCGTGCTACCTAGGGCTGTCCATGGGTCGGGCTGGACTTGGCTAGTGAATTTTTTTTCGGATCGGGCTTGGGTAGTATAGTCCCAAGCCCCACTACAACAATGATGGGCTTTAGTGACAAATTTTTTAGTGGCCAAGTTATTTTTGTCATTAATGTTTCCTTTTTAGTGATGACATGTGAAGTTGTCACTAATGATCTAGGATGAGTGACGACAACACTATTTGTCACAAAAATTTAACTTTTAGTTATGAATTATTGTTTGTCATTGTAACTTCGTCACTAGAAGTGTGAAAAATTGGATAAATAGTGATGAATTTTATTGTTGTCACTCAAAATGATAATCAATTACTTTTAATAATGAGATTAGTTGCCTCTGAAAGTTTCAAGGTTTTGGTGATAACTTTCAATAAATGCATGCAATGTTTTTTAATACGTGGTTTCATTGTTTAAAACTAACTAATTGTTGTGGTGACTGCATGGTTTAATTTAGAATGGCACCAAGAAGTAGAGCACACCGATTGAGCAATGAATTACCAATATCTGCTCCTACTCCATCAGATCCTTCTATTCCCCAAACACCCTTGAACAGTAGCGGTTAGATCATAACTTTTATTATTCTATAATTTTATTTATATTATTTTACTAATAATGTAATGTGTTTTATATAGCTTCCACCACTGTCAAAAAAGGTCGAGGTAAGACAAAAGGTCTTGGTTTGGAAAAGATCATTCGTGCCACTGGTAGGCTGCGAGTCAACATTCCTAAGCCGAAGAAAAAATCAGTTGAGTTAGGAGCAGCAACCTTTGCCAATGAGTTGGTCCTTATTGTTCGCCAATATGCTCCTCTCCGGGTGAAATAATGGAAGAACATAAATGAAGAGGATAAGGTTCCCCTTTATGACCGCATCTTAATAAGTGACAATCTAGTCAAGGTTTTTTTTTTTTTTTTTTTTTTTTCTTATTTGATTTTTTTTATTTGATTTTATCCACAACAAATGTTTATTTTTGTAACTTTGATTTTTAGGCAAAATTCAACATAGACATGATGCAGGAACATATAAAGGATTGTTGTGAGCAACTAATGAAATGTCAATATAGGACTTATCGATATCATCTTTGCAATCATTTCAATAAATTTGACAATGTTGACATTGCAAGAGAGCACCCATATGATGGAGTACAAGAGGAGGATTGAAATTATCTGTGCAACATATTCTCTGATGTTGATTATTAGGTGAAATTACAATGTGCAATATTTTAATATAAAAAGGTTATCCAACCCATTAACATGCCTATTGTTTCAATGCAAAAACGATGTGAAGTCAACAAGGCAAACCAAGCCAAGTTGCAAGTTACCCACTTCATGAGTACAAAGTCATTTGTGGCAGCTCGATATGAAATGGTATATAATATTGTATGATTTCAAGTTTACTTAGTATAATATGATTGTTAACTTTATATTCTTTAATTCTAATTGTAAATCATACAACGAAATGAAGAGACTAATGAGGAGCCTGATCGAATTTCGTTCTACAAAGACACTCATTATAATCCAATGAAAGGGTGGTCATGCGATGAAGGTAAGTTGAAATATGTAAGATTGAGTAGTATATTATACTTCAATTTTTAGATTTTATACAAATTTTTGAGTTGTTGCACTAAACTTTTAAAATTGTAGAATCAGATGTTGGAGTTGTAATCCCAACCTATACTAGAGGGTGACACCTTGTTAAATCCAGATCAGATATGCGACCTTGTGCTTGGAACAAGGTTAGGGTATATACGTGGTCTCGGGCATGACCCAAAGCCCCACACATCTGCCAAATCAAGTCAAAGAGCTACTTTGGATACACTAGAGGCTATAAAGAGGGCAAACGAGACTGAAAGAGTTTAGCATGAGCTGCTTGAGCAAGTAAATGTTCAAAATAAAAAGATACAATCACAAAATTAGATGATAGAGTCCCAACAAACTCAAATTGAAGAAATGAGGATTCGACAGACCCAATTTGAAAATATGTTTCAGGCCTATATGTCTTCTTCAAGGGCATCTGCCTAGCCCTCCTACATCATGATAAGCTATATATATTACGCATTTGCTTTCTTGCATATTAGAGAATTGTCATTATTATAGAGGGTAAATTTTGTGTGTTAAAACTTATATTATACAAAATGGTTCCTCAATTTATCTATTGAGACTTTTATTGTGAACATCGAGTAGAATTCATTAGCTATGGGAAAATTGCAATATTTTTTTTCTTGTGACTTTTTCTTTGCTTTTATGTCATCTATACAAAAAAAATCTCGTTTATGAGGTGTGTTTTACAAAAGTTACACTTATCTTCAATTGTTTATGGATGTTGAAAACATACTAACATCATTTTATTTTGTTCTTATGTGCAGATTAATAGATAATGGTGCGAGTTGTTTACAACGGACAGAACCACACTTGTGTCATTTTTATTTCTTTCTTTTTCGTACTTATGTCTTTTATTCAGTAGGAATTCAGTAGGAAAACACTTGTTTCATACACTTATTTTGTATTTACTTGGATGATATTTTTATTTGAGAAAAATTAATTTTAAGTTCTTTAGTTTTGAGTTATTATATTAATTGTCATATATCGTTTGGATGCGAATGACTAGATAATACATTATTTGTTTTGTTACACGACTCTTATCAGATTATTTCAAGAGTCAATATATATATATATATATATATATATATATATATATATAATATATATATATATATATTGAAAGAGTTTGAGTGACGAAATGAGAATTTGTCTCTAATCTCAACTTCTACTGACAAACTTTTTTTCGTCATTGACAATCATACAAATAACGGCTCTATATTTTGTGACAAACTCAATTTGACACTAAAGACCCAGAGTTGGTGATGAATTTAAAATTCGTCCCTTGAAGTATACCTCTAATGTCGACAATATATTGTCACTATAACATAACTTACAGTGACAAAATATCTTCATCACTACATTAGTACTTTCAGTGACGTTATTACTCTTTTAATGACACATTTTTTAGGTCTTTTGTGACTATTTTATTTGTCATTAAATTTATTTTTTTTAGTGATGATAGAGTGTTGTCACTACAAAGTATAGAATTAATGACGATTATTTTAGATTGCCACTATAGATAATTACTGGCAAGCTTCTAGTGACCACCTAGTGACGACAGAAATATCATCACTGAAACTCTTCATTGACGAAATACACATTTATAGTGACAAAAAAATTTGTCACAAAAAATCTTAATTGTTGTAGTGTCCGTACTTAGGCGAGTGGCAGGCCGGGCTCGGGTAGGGGTAAGCTACCTGCAGCCCAGCCCGTCACCTATTGGGCGTACTTTATAGGCGGGCCTGACTGGGCGGGCTTAGCAGACTTGACTAGGCGGGCTTTGCGGGCCAGTTTGGGCGGGCTTTGTTGGGCCTGTTGGAAACGAACTATTTGAAGTTATGGTGGTCATTTAATTATAAAAATTGGTTGAAAAAATTTTAAAAATTAAGTTGTAATAAGTAATTTAATGTAATATTGAACATATTTGTAGCATTGATAATCGATACAAATAAAATGGCTTCTAGTATTACCAATAAACATAACTAAAGAGGATTTCTTAAAACTAAAACATAAAAGAGAAGAAAATGAAAAGTAAGAGTTTAATAATATTATCCAAATTATATTGAAATAAATCTTATATTAAATAAGACTCTAGTGCATTTATGCAATTTCATTTGAAAATTCAGAAACTTGTCATCAATTAATGAAAATAGATAGAAATAAATAATAGTAAATTTAATTATTTTAACAATTCATTTTTATCTTTAAAAGAAAGAATATGAAAGGCTTGGCGATGTGTAATATTAATGAAGTTTTATTAATATAAATTTCATATTAATAATGTTAGTATTGTAAGAGTCAAGTTGTTCAATTAAAAGTTTAACATCAATCTAGTCTTATTAAAATGAGTTCTAAATTAAATAATGCTAGTATTGTCTTTATATATTGTGCTTAGGGTTAAAGTAGTCAATCAAATTTTTTTCTAAATAATGTACTTTTATTAGTAGTATAGATATAAATATGTATATTATATATATGGTATGTGGGCTTCAGGCTTCGGGTATGTGGGTGGGTATTAGGTCAGGTATGTGGGCGGGTTATTAGGCCGAGCTTCGATTTTCGGGCCAAGCTTTGGGTTTCGGGCGGGGTAGTGGGTTTAGGGGTAAACCCAAATCCTTTCTTAAAGGATATTAGGCTCGAGCTCGGGTGGACCAACTATCGGGCTTCGGACCTATTCTTTTTAGACCAGGTAATGGGACCTGTGGGTAACCCGACCCATGGAGACCCCTAGTGTCACCCTCTTTCCTTGCACATAAAGTGTTTGTTCTTTCCTGTAGGTTGAAATCACTTTTGAATATACCCATCTTCTCACTGAGAAATCACTTTCGAATGGGCAGGTGATTAGCATTATAGAAGCAGAATTGGTTGATTTGTTTGCTGAAAAGATGGTGCATTAGAGGTGCTTGATAGAAGAATTGATAAAGCAAAATCAGAC